GTCACTCAAGATTCGCGTTAGGCAAAGAACCTGCGTTTAGTCAAATCGCAATATGGTTATAGTTTATCTTCGGCTAAAATTAACCAAGTTGCATTGACATTTGTTGGTCGAGACCCACCAGCTGATCGATGTGAACCGGCTAAAATATGATGAAGTGGCACGTTTGGCCAACCGAAACGAGGTAGAGAGTTATTTTAGAGTCACCCTCGATGCTCTCGCAGAACTGAAACTTCCGAACAATCAGCGATCGGAACCGGCTGCACGCCTTTTCAAAGTTTAGGGATTAAAGCATAGCGCCACTGCCGAAGATGACTCAAATATCGGTGGAAACGCAGTCGCTACCCGTTCGAACGAATGAGGCAGACGGCGTAATGTCATAATAGCAAGCCAGGCAAGATATCGCAGGATCAGTACCGACAGTGGAAACCTAAAGTCGTAAAGGGGCAATGCCTCCTTACTTAAAAGGAAAGAGCAGCAGCAGGTTGATGAGACTGCAGAGTACTGACTTTATGTAGTTGGAGTTTTATCAATGAAGTGCCAGAGCTGTATAATTCTAAACCTCTGCAGATGAAACCAGTTCTACCCAGGTGTCGATATACCTACACGTGCTCATGCCGTTGTTCGCGTTTTGTTAGAACCCAATCTGGCTAAAAGAATCATTGAATGCAAGCTTGTCAGCAACTGAATGAGAGTCGGTCTACTGAAGTTATAACAGCCGAATGCTTTGACTTTACAGGTTCATCGGCCCAGTTTGGAGGGAAAATACGAGTCCTTCCTGGAGGAAGTAGAAGTTTTCTTGCACGAAATGCCGATTACAGAATTCTTCATTCCGATCGTGGTTTCGTTGCGCATATCTAAGTGGACAATGAAAATTGGAAAGACGGTATTGAAAAGAAAGGCCCTAGCTAAGTCAACTATAACAGCATAAAGTTCTTGCGGTTTTGTGCGAACAACAGATTGCCCATTATGAACACCTTCTTCGATCATCGAAGAGTGCATCAGTAC